GTTTATTGTTTTTTGAGAGTTTCCAGAGGCGGCGAGTTGCGCTGCTGGACGCCCCTGAAAGCAGCCTGGACCTTAACTTTAGCCGCCAACATGGCGCACACTTTGCATTTGGCATTACAAAGCCTACGTGCCCTGTCTCACTGTGACTTGAACAAGCTGCAGGGAGAACATAATGTTAGTCTCTCTCTCTTTATGCTAACTTACTCTCTCACTCAGATGCGCTCTCAGGTACCGAAATGCGGAACTGATTGATGAATTCATGAATCGGTACTTGTATTACAGATAAAAGGCCAGATTTTTGGTTTTTGAAAGTTACACAAATTTTAGGACACAGCATCCGTTCCCCCTTGATCCAACAGCAGAAATGTATGTGGGAAAAGGGGTTTCTTAGGATATTAGACCATCGTACGTACAAGCACTTTCAATGAAGCAGCTTGACTCTCCCAATGACACAGCCTTGGCCTTAATCCTAATTAAGCAGTAATATGTATGGAGAGAGCAGAGAACAGCAGCTGGAGAGAACATTTTATGAAACATATTTGGACTCGGACTCTCAGGAGTCGCTGTGACATTTGCAAGGAATTCAGTCATGAGTTTTATGGTCTGTGTCCCAGCTGAGAGGGGCTCACATCCGATTAAATGGTAGCTCTCCGAATATTGGAACTGCACACAGTGAATATGAATGTGCAAACAGTGGTAGAGCTTTCCCATCCTGTAGCTTGGCCATAGCCTTCATGTGAACTCATCAACAGTCAATGAACAACTGCTGAACTTGATTTTCAGATGTTCTTCCCACATGTTGAGACTATACACATTTCCTAGCTGCCTGTGTACACAGTAGGTTAGCATGAGCACTAAAGATAAGCCTGACTGGGTTTTCAAAAAGACTGTTTTTTCCTGCAAATATGCATGATCAAAGAGAGAACAGGGTCTGTTGATAGCTTGATAAAGTAAGGTCCTGCAGAGGGCTGGGGAGTGTATACATTTCTCACAGCCCCATGGGTAATCATTTTACAGCCGTAAACACATACCAACATTGTACTTTTTCAAATGTTTAATAAGGCTGTTATCTGGCCTGTCACAAGCTACAGTTCTTGCTATTAATAAATAAAATAAGTTATATCAGAAAGAACAAGCCTTTAGCTTTAGTTTCATCTGGGACGTATTGAAAATTATATGCTTTGGTACTATCAAAAACAGCTCATTTAATACCACATATTAAAGCTGCAGTAGGTAAATTTTATAAAAATAACCTTTTGTCATATTTGCAGAAACTTTCACTATATCCTGACAGTATTACATGAGACAGAAAATCTATGAAAAAATC